ACTACTTGGACAAATATGCCAAATTGTATAATTATACCCAATTATACCCAAATCCAATTCTTATATGGATTTTCAAACATACTTTAAAAGTTACTCAACGTGAAAATGCATACCACTTAACCATCACCTCATATTTGTTGGACTAATATAAAGCCGATATTAGTAATAATTTATATAGTCATGCTATATGGATAAGATCATGTAACTAAAAATAATATAATAGATAAACGAAAGAAAAGAACATAAACAATAATTTCATGAAATAAATAAAATATATAAAGATATAATTTAACTTATTATGTAGTAATTTTAATTAAAAAAATTAGACTTTCTTATTAAATACAAACGGGAAGAAGAATTCAATTTAATTTCTTGTTGAAAATAATACAAAAATAATAATTATTACAATTAATAGTAGATTTATGACATACAATAAAAGAACTTCTTTGTCTAACCTTTGAAATAATTCAACATCATCCATTTAGAAAAATAATACAATAATATTCGTATTATAGATAAACACTAAATGAAAAAAATTAAAATATTGTAGAACAAAAACTAATGTATAAAGAGGAGAATAGATATAATATAATTCTATCCACACTTTAAATTTATTTGATAAAATTAAGCAAATAAATACCACTCAAAAATATTATTGATAAATTTAAATATCGAAATAATTTGAGAAAGTCATACCGGATAAAGTCAAGCTAAATTTCAAGAGTAATACAAAAGTATATTCATTGTATTAGGCAGATTTATATTGAGTTCCCTTAGCATATCCTGGCATATTTTAGTTATAAGCAGTTTCATATCCCAGTAAAATATGATCAAGAGGGCTTAATACGCCGCACAGTTACAGAAATAGCCGCTCTGTAAGCACAAAATACTACTTGGAGTTTGATATCTTCGAATAGGAATCACATGCCAAAGATTCAAAGATAAAAGAGTCAAGACACAAGAGAACACAAAAAAAATACCTCTTTCTTCCTTTGAGGGGGTGCCATTAAGGGGCCAAAACGTGAATGGGATAGTTGATTTTCAGCTTGCTCCAGCTTTTCAGCTGTATGATTTAATGGGGTCAACTAATTTCGAGGTGTTTCAATAGTGGAAACTTATATACAGCCATCAATTCATTCTGATAATAATAGAAAGTGGAAATGTTAAGCAACAATAATATTACCAAGATCAGATATCTGTCCAGCAACATAGTCTCCATTTCCAAGCAAAGGAGAAGACGAAAGTGTGTTCACCCAATACTTGTTCCATAGTAGGTCCAAGAGATGGCAATCAAGAGAGGACTTGAAATACGTAATATCCAATGAATAATACTGCAAATAAAGAGAAAAATTGGTGAGCTAACAGTCAAAGATTTAAACATATATGTGTGAGTGCATGCGCCCATGCCAAAGAGGCAACCTGCTTGCAATGTACTCCAAAGTCTTCGATTTTGTTCAACGGAATGGTCTGGTACTCTGAGATGGGATCATCTGGAGGCTTGTATCCTTCTGGATATGTTCGAAAGGCACCAATCTCAACTTTTCCAGCAGAAACAGTTCTTGTTGGATCAATAACAACTGCAAGAAAGGGCTCCTGATATTGCTGGTTAAGCATTTGTGTGGTAACATCAATGCCAGAGAGCCAGCATCCATAACCAGGATGAGAATGGTACCACCCAACCACATTTTCCAGCCGACCAGCCTATACCAAAAACTGAGTATGAGAATGGTCTGAACAAACTACATCCACAAGCACCTTCCAATTAAGAAAATCAATTGAGACACAATGTATAAATCCTATATACAAATGCACACAGCCTAAATTTAAGCAACTCAAAAGAATTTCTAGGTGCAACAAGATTGAATTCCGTGACCAATGAAAGATTTTGACAAGAGGCTCTAATAAACTGCAAGGTTACAAACTCCTGAAATAGACAGAGGTATTTATAAATATAAGTAGAAACTCCTACAAAATGCTTATAGAAACACATATGAAGCAATAGATCATCTGAAATAATTGACTTTTTGCTGATGATAAGGCAACCATGGCACACGAGCAAGAATCTGTGATATGTCCCCAAGATTGGTAAACAACAGTTGCCACAGATACCAGATCAAAGACCTAAGAACTAATCAAGAGAGGCCACTCTATTCTCAAAATGACAAATTTTGGCTTAACGGCATGTGTACTAAAACGGTGATGGAAACCTAAGCAATGTACTACAGACTAATAGCAGGTTATGACCAAAGAATCACTAAGGAGTGGCCTACGATGCAATTCCGAAGCAACGGCATGAGCATGCTAATATGTAATTGGCGAGATTAGACTCTATTAACTTCAAATACCAAACAACAATCCGTTTGTAGGAGCATCCTGATCTAGAATCAAATAGTGGAGTACACCCTTTTCTTTTATAACCATGGAGTCCACTCTTACGTAATAAGATCCATCACACAGAGATCACAATGATCATATCTCTTGTTATTTCTTAAGAGAAAATTACAAATGTTATGTAGGTTGATAAACAGATTAGAAATAATAGCATACCGACGAATTAAACCCTAATTTTTAAACAATATAACATGATTTTCTTCTCCACTATAAATATTTCCACATAATTTCACATGGAAAAACTTCCATTAATAAGAGATTCTGTCAAAATGCCACACAACCCTTAAGGAAAAGCCTTAATTTAACCTTGACAGTATTCTAGGTAACATAAAATAAGGACATTTTGTTTTAGTTAATCTTTGGTGCACCCATGAGGCTCCTGTCATAGGTTCTCTACTATTATATACCGCATATTCGGAAAATTTCCCACCACATTAATAAAACATAAAACATCAATAGAAAAAAAGAGAATTTTCCACATAATTTCACATGGAAAAACTTCCATTAATAAGAGATTCTGTCAAAATGCCACACAACCCGTAAGGAAAAGCCTTAATTTAACCTTGACAGTATTCTAGGTAACATAAAATAAGGACATTTTGTTTTAGTTATTCTTTGGCGCACCCATGAGGCTCCTGTCATAGGTTCTCTACTATTATATACCGCACATTCGGAAAATTTCCCACCACATTAATAAAACATCAATAGAAAAAAAGAGAATTTTGCACCAATGTCCACAGAAGCCACCGGATTTAACTATGCATATATAGGAAACAAACAAACAAATATCATGATTTGGCCAATAGGCTTCTGAACCAAATTACATATTATTAAGAATTTAAAAGGCACTGACCTGCTTGTTGGTCTGTGAATACTCGACCATATATTCATAAGCATCAGCTTGAGCATTAACCCTAGTTTCAGTGCCTTCAACGGGAAGGGCAAAAGCGTCCATAACAATAATCGCATCGCCGTCGGTCTTACCCTGCATGAGTCCCATCACCTCAATCGTACCTCCGGAACGCGCGTGAACGACCATCTTGAGAAGCGCGAGAGCAGAGATCTTCACGCGCTTAAAGAAGTGAGGGTCACTCGCCCACGGCTTCTCCCGCTGGAACTTCGTCTGTGCTGCCTCGTCGTAGTGGAATATGGCGTCAGACGCCGAATTTTCCGGTGTCGAACCCGACGGCGCGTCCATTGTCACGATGTTGTTCTCTAACTCCCAGGTTTGCTGCGCCATCGCCGCCGACGATGCGTAGGAATTGAGAGGATCCATTGGAGCTTCGGAAAGTGCAATTGCAGAGCTCTTCTATTCACTCTGATTTTATAAGTGAAAAATCGGGGAAGGGTTAATTTGAAGAAGAGGTTCGGCAAAAGAGAAATTTAAGAAAAGCACTAAATAACCCTGTAATATCACTTCGTTGCAAATACACGCCTTATATTTTAAAAGTATACACTTAATCTCCTTATATTATGGAAGTTATACACAAATATTAGTTTGACTATATTTCTATTTTACAAGGTATTAAGTGTTTGGTTTAGTGAGCAAATTAAAAAAAATTAATTCTAATAAGTTTAAAAGAATTATTATAAAGAAATTAAATAAGGGAGATATGTGTTATATTGTGAACCATAAGAGAGGTTATTGTTACAAAGCCAAAATTTAAGGGAGGTCTCTGAATTTATCTCTTATTATTTTTATAATAAAAATATCATTTTGCAATTCAATGAATAGTAGGCTCTCCTTTCTATTCTTCTCTATTTAAATACTAGTTTTTTGTCTATAGTTGATTTTCATTATCCCAATACAACTACTTTAAAATGGCATAAAAAGAGCAACATATGATAGATCGGACAGAGGGACTCATTTGACTAATCAATGGTCCATGCACCTACCTAAGATACATGTCCCTGAAAATAGGAGATTGGTTTATCGGACTTTCTCTTAGCACGCTATACTGTGAATTAATTTTGCCGAGTTATTTTACATGTACAATTGGTTTCCTCTCTCAATAACATATTCCATTAATTCTAACTTTTGGTATGAGAGCAAATGCCAAGCTAAAAGGTATATATCACTTAATTTTTCATTATCGTTATCCATAAAATACTACATTTGATACAATTTTTTAAGTTTTAATTAGATGACAAGTACTATTATGCATATATCCTGTGCAATATGTCAAGCCCTAAACGTTATAGATATGATTAACGAAACGTTCACGATCTCTTAGTAATATAATATATTTAAATATAATAGCTTTTCCTTCTGCATCCATGTTCTTTTTTTGTTGTAATCTGTACATTATTTAAAATTCTACTGGTTGAGTGGTTTTAGAAACCAAAAAAAAAAAAAAAAATACAACATATGTGTTACCACTATTTCACGATAGTTCACTGTATACTTCAACTATTAAATGAGATGGAAGAATCCCTTGAATTAATGCAAAGTTAATTTGTTTTTAAATGCATTTGTTGTAACTTTCACCATTTACACCTTTAATAACGGAATGTGGAATTAGAAGTAGAACATTTATAAAAGGTAATTAGTTCAGTTGCACTAATGTGATTGTAACTTGCAATATATACCTTCGAATCGGATTAGAAAACTTAAGAGAATATACGTGGGGACTAATTTAAAACAACACAATATGCAGGTTACAATTTTGCTACTTTTTGTTGTAGTTGGGATTTTGATGAGATCAATAAGTTCAGAGAGGTACATTGTTGGAGAAGGCTATGGTTGGCGTCCTGCCCCTTATCCTTCTCACTACCAAGATTGGGCTAACACTGTAAAGTTTAAAGCTGGAGATGAATTAGGTAAAAATTTAACTTCACCTACTCTTTTTTTTAAAGAAAAAATTACATGGTGTAACTAACTTATATATTGTATTTATCATACATAAATACACTTTGAAATAATTACAATTAGTAGCTACGCTTTGTATTTGTAACAAAATCCCAACGGTAAATACAGTGTATGGAGTCACATACAGCCATTGTTTGCGTTGATACATACAGTGATGTATCACTGTTTTTCAGTGTATTGTATGTGTTGATACAACCATTTAGAGCGAATGAATATAAGTGATACAAGCAACTAGGCAAACTATAGTTATGTATGATAATTAGCTCTTTTATGAAAAATCCTGTTTTTTAATATTTGTGGTGTCCGAACCGACTAAGTACATATTTTAAGTATTTGAATACGAGCATATCCGGACCTTTAATTTATTGATGACTAATTATCCACTGTTTTGTAGAGTTTAGATTCGAAAAACCTGACGATTTGCTGGAGATTGGAAAATTCGACTACTATGCATGCACTTCCAACGCTGTTTTCAGGCCGTATAGAGAGAGTCCAGCAACAGCATTCTTACTGGCACCTGGAGAATATTACTTCAAATCCAGCAACAATACCAATTGCATTAATGGCCAGAAACTTTATGTAAATGCAGAAGCTCCAAATGAAGATAATGATAAGTTTGACAACAAGAGCTAGAAAGAAAGGTGGAATCATGAGGATAAAGACAAGGATCACTAGATTACTTTGTTTTAGATTAGACAATAACTAGAAGCATATCTAGGATTTAGAGTCCGCGAGTTCAGAATGAATGTGATTTTATTACATGCACTCATTTTAATTATAATTTTTCTGTAAGCAAATAAGTTGAGTTGAACTCACATAACTTGCCCTAGATCTACCTCTGACAATAATTTAAGTCGAGCTATACATAGAGGTGCTTCTACTTGTTTCAGATGGCGATAGAGTTGCTATGGCAACACTTTCGCCGTCTTGTTTTCAATCAAACAGCTGTTTGTGCTGCACCTTTAGATTCATGTAATCTTGAACTTTTTATATTACTTTTGTTGTTGCTAAAAGTAATTGTGCTTCACCTGTTTCAGATTTGTACTTGCTTTAAACCTCTATGGCACTCACTTGTTCACTTTATATTGATTGGTATACTCAATTAGTGGAAAAGAAAACACAATATTACATCATTCACCATGTTTATACCTAATAGTAATCCTTATCGACATAAATCTCGTCATGAATAGCCATGAGCAAAAACAGGGTTCCAACCATACATGTACAAAAGTGAAAAACACAACGCTGATTTCCATAAGATTTAGTCCAACATCAGTTGTTCAAATTGGCATTTCACTGAGGCTGTAATTATCTATTGCCCATGAGAAATCGAGTGTTTACATATCTCTTAGATTAAATGAAATGCCTATGTATCATATCTATTACCAGAAATTTATTTTCTGGCTTGTCCAATACGAATATTAACCAAAACAATAAGTGAACAAATAACAAGTACAAACAAATTTATATACATACATATCTAGGCCAAGAAAAGGATAAACTTTCTGCTCTTCTGGCCAAAATTCAGCTTTCATTGTGTAAGCAACATCAACACCATGTTCATCAGACTGGATCTCCAGCAAAAGTCAAAATGTGTCTTTTCAAGTGCACAATTGGTGAAGCCTGATAATCTTCTACTTCCAAAAAACTGTGACCAAAATAGAGCAAAAAGAAGTTGTAATATATATATAATAACTAACATAAACATGACCTCAATCGATTAAGAAGTTCCAAACCAACACTTAGGTGTCACCGCATCTTCCACATATGAGTCTCTTTCCAACAATGCAGAAATCACGGTCCTTGCTAGATATCGTCCCCAACCAAATCTATGTAAGCTTCTATATAATTGAACCTTTGAGCTATGCTCCTAACAAAGCCTCAAGGCTTCAGAAACTACCTCACGCCCAACAACTCCTTCAGATGCTCTTTACCACTGCATACAGAAACCATACAACCACCTCATTGCACACGCCGTAAGGAAGAAATCTGTGGGGTGAGTTTGAGTTACTCTTTTTTAGTTCATAATGCAAGAATCCTGGGATAAGGAAAAAACTATTTCTTCCTGCAAGAATCCTAGGATAAAGGAAAACCTATTTCTTCCCTTTTACTACACCACAGGAGACCCCAATAGTTTACTCAGGACAATTCAAGGCCATTAATCTTATCGTTGGATGCGCAAATCCCCTCTTCACCAAAGGAATGCTTACCGAAGGGAAAAGTTAACTACTTGAATAAGAAGACCAAGTGAGGTCACTTTTTAAAAAAGAAATAGTTGGTCCTTAGACTATAATATGTCACATCGGCTATTAGTTTCACAGCAGATGGAGTTTCTATAATATGTCATAACTTTCTAAGACCAAAAAATAGAGCTGTCTCTATCCAGATCTACTAATGGAGACCAAAAGAACTAGTTACAGCAAGCATAGAGCGGCAAAATTCTTTTTACCCTGCGCAGAAACTAAAGAGAATCTGAATCATGTCCACTAAAGATCAATTCAGAAGGTTGATATTGATAATCCTCTATTATAATAGTGTTCTAGTTGCATCTATTACCCTCTGTCCTTTACCAATTTACACTGAAGTTGCCGTAACTGCGTCCTTTTACCATATAATGCCATAACATCACTTTTGTGAACCGAGCTCAACAGGTCATATTTTGCTAATTGGTCATAATTGCACTTTTGGCAAACGTTCTTTTTTCTCTTTCTTTACTTCTTCTAGAGCGAGGAGGCCACATTTTACAGTTCGGGCAACAACAACATACCCAGTGTAGTCCCACAAGTGGGGTCAGGGGAGGGTAGTGTGTACGCAGACCTTATCCCTACCTTTCCGGTAGACCCTCAGCTCAGGAGTTTTACAGTTCTGGCAATATTCTATAATTTACTAAGGAAGGATAGAAGTAAAGAAAAAATTCAGTTAGAGTAAAAGCAATTTGAGTTTCGGGCCACAGAATTCAACTGCAGCAGCCTTCTGGTCGCAAGACTTGTGAAGTACAAGATTTAGAAATTCCTTTTTTTAATGAAAAGTAGAAAATTAGTTTAGAAATAAGCTTATCAGATTCAAGCAGCTTCCATCCTCATGATATTTACCTTTTATGTTGAAATAAAAACACTATATAGTGTGTAGAGGTAACATTAATTTATAAAGAAACTAGCAGACTCAGAAGTACCTGTACGGAAATGAAGGAATTATCTCTTCAAGAACATGTAGCATTAAGGAGTTAGTGGTCTCATCACAGGAGCTTCCCCTGTCCTTCAGAACTGTAAATAAATAAAGAAATCAGTAAACACCAACCTTCAAAAATACAAAATTTTCAAACTTTCTAAGGACGGGAAGCAAGAGAACCGGTGTAGGGGACAATATTTTTGTAAAGGTTCATATTTCAAAGCTCCATCAGAGGATTTTGAATCATGTCACAATAATAGCAAATTCATATTATGAAACTTTGCTGACAATCACTCAAGCTATCTAAAACCATCCATAACTTTCAAATGTCCAGGGATTTAGCAATAGCTAAGTAACTTGGAGGAATTTACGCGCAATTCTCTTGTAGATACTAGATATTACAAAGGGTAGGATCCAGCAACATCAACATACCATTGTAGTATCCATTTCTCACTCACTTAGGCATATTATCTTTAGATAATAAACAACCATTCTACTCCCAGCATGTCCACAACTGAATCATTCTCCCAATATATATATATATATATATANATTCTTTTTCTTTTTTTAAGAGCCTCTCTGTGTTCATCTTCCCTTTTTCGTACTGAAACACACTTTTCGGCTGGTTCTTTGACTTCTCATACAATGTAGAGTCTGCCACCTCAAAAGCATCACACAAGTGACATCCCAAACATTCTTGACAGCATTCAGAAGTCAAAATAGAAAGATAAATTGACCTGAAGAAACAGAATACCGAAAACATAAAACAGCAATCAGAACAAATTGCAGTATGACCAACAAGATATGTAAGAATCCTTTTTCATCTCTCAGCAGATATAATTCCTTTTTCTTTTCTTTTTTGCCTTTTTATCCTACTCATTCAGGTACAAGGTTCTAATCCCACCAAAAGCCCTCCTTTCTTATAGCTTTCCCTCTGCCACTATTTCCTATCCCAACAACAACATCTCAATCCTAATCTATTTGGGTCAGCAAAAGAAGAATAAAGAAAAGAAATAGGGAAGATAATAAATCTAAAGTGCTCAACCTAAAATCCCATTTCATTTTGTACTATTCAGGACACCTTTTTAATAGCAATCGTACAGATTACCCACCCATTGCCATACCAATGAGATGAAGCATCAATAAAACATGCAATCCTACGCGTAATAATTGTTTCCCTTTTTTACTTGCACTAGGTCTTTCCCCTGGACTTTGTTTCCAAAGGCATTTTCAGGCTTGTTTAACTGCCTTTGATAAAGAGTTCAACCGAGCCGAGCTGAGATAGAAAAAATTTCATGCTACATCTGAGTAGGCTCATATAGTGCATAATCCCCCCAGATAACCTTTAAAGGTGTGACTTGTTGGTCAGAGCAAGATTGAACAGTTGAGATCTCAACTTTCAACAACAACAACAATCCCAGCATATTCCCAGTTCCCACAAGTGGGGTCTGGGGAGGGTCTAAGTTGCTCCGACACGGCAGTTTAGGTGTCGCACCCATGTCGACGCGACACTAGTACGGGTGTGGGTATGGGATCCGTGCCTGATCTGGTCAAACAATTTTGGGTACTTTGACCGCGATGGACGAAAAAATTCGAGACGAGATACAATTACCAAAACTAGGGTAAATTTGAAGAAAATAGCATATCTTATCTAGGAAATCAATCATTTACTTATCTACAACTTGAGAATGAAAAAGAAATCCACACTTTACAAGTTATACATAAGTATTCCACAAAATTTCTCATAATTTAGAGATATTTTCACATTTTTAGCCGGATCCCCGCACCAGTATCCGTACTAGGATCCGTATCCCTAAATCTTAGAATTTACATCTAAGAAGGATCTGACCTCTAGATCCGCACCCGTGTCCGAGCAACTTAGGGGAGGGTTAGTGTGTACGCAAGCCTTACCCCTACCTAGTGAAGGTAGAGAGGCTGTTTCCAATAGGCCCTCGGCATAGATCTCAACTTTCACAGGATAAGATATTCAGAGCATCCACTTCACTAGGTAGGCATAGTGCTTCCCATAACTCAAAATGCAGGTATACTAAACCTTACAAGAGTTTTCCAAGCACGACGTTCCTTAAGTGACACCTTAAAAATTTAAATGCCCATGGAGTGCTGTTTAGACATGGAAAATATGAAAAGCAAAGGTAGGAACGGAGAATCTGTCTAAAACAATCAAAAGACATTATCTTTTTTCAATGACTACCCAATTGTTTAGAATCAGAAGCAGCACAAGGAGAGTTCTGTGTTCAGATACCTTCAAAATTGTTGGGATCTGAAGTATTGCCTTGGAGATATGATACATCATCATCAGATAACTGTAACCCATCCAACTGAGCAAACTTATTCAACATACAGCCGACAAGACTGTAAGCAAGCATACTAGTATCATCAGAAGCTTCCTGAATAAGAAGATACTGATTTCTACTCAAGTTTTTCCTGCGAGGCGATACATTTTTTTCTTCTGAACACTCTTCCGATGTATATCTTGGTGGCCTGCATCCTAAATGCCATGCAGCTTCTTTTTGCTCCATATCATTCCTGTCTGATTCTTTATTAGGCGAGAAAGGTGTAGAAAATTTATTCTGATCTCTTGTGGACATAGATGGGCATGATTCCCTTCCTCCATGTTGGCCCATGCTTCTTAAATGGTAATCTTTGCCACTCATACTCTTAGCACCTTCAAAACTTTTTGATTCTAAGAATGACGAGGAATTGTCAAACCAAATGGAATGAACTGAATCTACTTCATCGGTATACATTGACTCAAGTTTGAGGTTCAACTTGTGTTTGGGTGAAAGCAGAGAGGATAAAGCATCATCTCGACTAGCGGTGATTGGTGACTTGGAGTCACTTTGGTTTATCTCACCTACACTTTCTAATTGGCTGTATGAGACATTAGAATCAGACCTACAATTTCGAGGATGATCAGAAAGATGCTCATCTTCATCACCAGCTTCACAATAAGTTTCCTCTATGTTCTCCATGTATGCATTAGCAAAGTCTTCACTGACATCACTTTCAGCGAGTAAATCCCAAACAATTTGTTTTATCTGAGCACTAATATTCAGCACACATTCTACTTCTTCTTCAACCTCCTTCTTTGAGTAGGTTTTCTTAGATGCATGCCTAGATGTTTTGTTAATTATAGCAAGACTTTCTAGTAAACTTTCAGGTATAGACTGCAAGTCACTGCATTCGAGAAGATACTCAGTCAACAGTTTCCTCACTTTCACACGCAAACGAACACTTTCTTTGGCAGCTTTAGCATTCGAATCCAGTACAAGAGGCAAATTTCCCAGCTCCGCAAAACTTAATTTTTTTTTATCATCTAGTATCCTGATTGCTTCTGCTATATCATTCTGCAATGCTTCTATATCTGGTGAAAGTTTTTGGAACACCATCTGAGAGGGACAATCAGGTTTTGGCTTTAACATTAATGTTGCCACGGACAAAGCCTTGGCCAGGGGTTCTGGTGGCTCATCCCCTTCTTCATAGTCTGATAGTATTTCCAAAGATGTTCTCCTGATTTGATTAACTAAATTCTCAATATTCCACCCTATTCGTTTAGACTGCATCTTAGGGATGTATCCAGTGACATCCCTGAGATTTCTATGCATTTTACTCAAAGTTAGAAGAGACAGCTCCTCAAGTCTATCCACTACATAAATAGCAGCACGGCGAAAGGATTCGGAGGTAGAACAAAGAACCCCATGGTTAACATGGAAGTTTTGAGGATCACTGAGGAGTTGAGAAATTCTTTTAATCCGACTTTGACTGGAATCATCACGGTTATGGAGAATTTTGGGAAGACTGCACTTTATTATCCTTCTCATTTGCCAATTGGTTTTCTCAAAAGTAATTGAACCGCCAGTTACTGTCTCCGCAATACAGCATAACCCGTTGTTGTTCATCTTATCAAGAAGGGAATATATGCATCTCAAATTCTCAGCTGAATTAAAGAGCAATATGGCTGGAGCATCAGGGCATGTCCTTTCATCCTTATGCACTCCAAATGCCTTAGCAACAGAAATTCTAATATTCTCATAATATAACTGCAATTAAGACACACAGAAAATATAAATATATCAGCTTTGTTGTTGTTGTTGGGGGGGNAAAAAAAATATAAACTGAGGAATGTTTTATCAACTTCGAATTTCAGCATGTCATTACATCAGCAAGCATTAAAAAGAACACTTACATCATCTTCTCTAATCAATGATTCAGGTAAAGTCCTGCAGATACGGAATCAAAGAGTAGACGTTGAATTTGAAGTACAAAAAGTTTACTAGGAAAACAACAAGCAACCATTGCTAATGCAACAGATAACAAAATACATAAACAAGAGCAACCCACATAATAAGGTACTGTATACTTTTAATCAGGCTGTAGAAAGAGTATAGGAAACAACTTTCATAAAAAAAATACAATGCTTTAAAAGAAAAGGAGACTGATATCACAAATTGTGGCCTACATATTGGATGTATTTCTGTGTTTAAACAAGCACACTTGGAAAAATAGATTTCATAGTTTAGCAACAAGGAACATAACCAGTGGATGGTCTTTACTTACTAAAAACTTCTGCAGATGGAGGTCACTGATCACAAATATGGTGTTGATCCTCTCTGATGGAACTCTGAAAGAAACGATGGTTTATACAGTTGTTCGATGTGGAGGAGCATTAGTAGAGGATTGGATAAGAGACTGGGTGTCATCACTTATGTCCATTTCATCCATCAACCTTGGGAACTGCTAATGCACTTTTCTGGGTCAAATCATACTACAATCAACACTAAGAGAATATAGGATTGAGGATCCTTGAAAGGCATGAGGCAATGCATATCACATTCAAATTCTGTAGTTTTTGCATGGGAAGATAGTCGATACTAAGGAATCACATCTTACTGGTGATAGTCTGTGAAGTATTATGGTTAGTAACTGTTGTGTTCTTTTCAGAGGGGCCGAAGACTGTTAATCATCTGCTATTGCATTGTCCCTGAGCTTTAGTGTGCTGGTCACTTGTGTTATGCTGGCAGGGGTCAATGATATATGCCCCCCATCAGTCGAGAAGTTGTTAATGGCTTGAAATGCACTTCAAAGGAAAATATATACCAATAAGGATAAACATCTCCGCAAGTCTCTTTTAGTGCATCTCAATGGAAAGGAATAATCAGCATTTAAGAGAAATTGAAATGCAACTCACTTCACTTCTATCAGAACTCTTGGGAAACCTTTTCATTGAAATTATAAGTGATTGTAAAATTCTGATATTTCCATTTTTTTCTTGGGTGATATTTGTGTATTTTTCGAAAGTCTATCCTTGCAATTGGATTTTTCTGTAAGTGTCTTTGTCCTTGGACTTGCCTGAGCTGTCACATTTTGATATAATACTATCCTAAGAAAAAAATGCAATCCATATTTGTTGACGCTGATAATGAGGACCGTGTACACTTATTATCTTTCATCTCATTTACAAATATCAAGCTTCAGAATTTCATTAGCTACATAAACCGTCATTAAAATGTGATTCATTACATAATGGTCTGCAAACCTATAAAATGAAGAATCACAACACTCAGCAAGCATTCTTTAACACGACTTCCCTGACTTAGCCAAAGCTAATAAAAGAAGAAGGAAATTTCGCAAAGGGATCGTCCAGAAAACTATAATGAAATTCACAGACAACTGCCTCCCAATATCCGTGCATTCAATTGAACAGTCAATGTTGCAAATATTCAGTAATATGAAAGCAGTGCAATGACTAACATGCCTTCTCTAGGGAGGAATACTATTACTAACTAGGACAATCATAATCCAAGAAGTGGAAAGGAAGAGTTTTTACAAAAAGATATAGAAAATTTAAAGACAAAAGAAGGTTCTCATGTATCACCGTGAGGTTTGAGTCTTTCCATCTTTTTTCGCTCTCGTTCCAATAAATGCAAGTCCATTAACCACCTGCAAAATTAACTTCTTATTTCTAACATAATACTCAAAATCGATTATTCCCATTTCCCACAAACACTTTGTACATTACTGATACAAAAACAATTACGCCCTCCATCTCATTTAATACAACAGTCTTCCCATTTTGAACGTCCTAAAATGTTTGACACCATCTTATTTCTAAACAAACTTACATTGAATTCATTTATTTATTCAACTTCTTTTTATAAATAAATTTAATTTCACTTGTATAAACTGAACAAAGGCTGCGCAAATATTAAGAAACTATACATACTTTATAATGTTTTGTCTATCAAACTAATTTTTCAATTTTTATTTGAATATCTTCTTCCACGACCATTAATCTCTTATAAAACCAGTAAAAGACAATTATATAAAATGAGAAAGAGGGAGTATTAAGCAAAACGAAAGTTACAATCATTAATTGGTAAAGTGCATCAATATGCTAACAGTATTTGAATCTAGGTCAATGAAGTGGGTTGAGAACCATGAGGTCTCAGTTTCAAATCACAATGGAGTCAAAAGCACTATGTGATTTCTTCCCATATGTCTAATTCTTGGTGGACAGAGTTACCCGATACCATTACTAGTGGGAGATAGAAGGTACCCGGTGGAAAAGTCGAGGTGTACGCAAGCTTGGCCCGGACACCATCGTTATCCCCAAAAAAATCGACTTTAGCATTGTAATATATTTTAAACGAAGAGTTAAATTAAGGTCAGAAGATAAAAATAAAAAGGTTACCTTCTTTTGAGCCTTAGGTCTTTATCTTGCTGCTTCAATTGAGATAGCAACACTCTACAATCCTCCATATAGCCCTCCATTTTCTTCTATTCTTTCACAACAAATAAGAAAATATAGGGTTTCGGGCTTTAAGTGAGTCATCAACTCTACGTGAAACTGAAAATCACATAAGAAAGGTTTTTTTGTAAAATTAGTTATTTAAATCCTCAGAAAATTTATCATTACTACTCAAACTCAATTTAGTACAGCCATTATCACACAGAAAGAAAATAAGAACAAATATTTATTTTTAAAAATCACATGGAAGTAGTTATAAGCTTTGTTAAGCAATGGGAACAAACACGGCAGTATAATCCAAAATTTATTAAGATTTGTATTTTATCGTTAAAAATTATTGTAAAGTGTATAAAGAAAAAAATCGTGAAACAGAGAAAGAGAAACAAACTATTTGATTTCGCAGAACGAGGGACTTGGCCTTGGCGGCAGAAAGAGATGAAAAGGAGGCAACAGAGGAAGACAGCGGCAGCGTAATATTGGCGAGAAATTGAGAGTGAGAGGAGTTCGAATTTGGGTCTATTTTGGCGAGAAATTGAGAGTGAGAGGAGTTCGAATTTGGGTCTATTTTATTGGCTGTTCAGACCAGCCCGCTATACTTGGAAACAAATCTACCTAGTTGGATGCAAAGTTAAATATTTTAAACGGGCCAGCAATGAAATATTGCTTAAAAATAGCACGGCTAATCAGTTTTCGCACCGATAATTAAAAAATAGCCAGCATTTATAAAATTATTAAAAAATAACCACTATTTTACTACAACACGGAAAGTTACAGCATAATATACTGGAGATTGGTGCACTTGTATATGAACTTCCAGCATATTATGTTGGAACTACAGCACACGAAAAGTTTCAGCATAATATACAAGATTGGAGCACATGTGTATGAACTCCCACTATATTATGCTGCAACTTCAGTATATTATGATGGAGTTCCAGTATCCATCATAATATACTGGAGTTCAAATGTAAAAAATTCGAACTCCGGTATATTATGCTGGAATATTTTTCGAATTTTGAACTGTGTTTTCGTTCAAATTTATTTTTACATGAAAAGTGGCTAAATTTCGATTACTTTTAAAACTGTGACTATTTTTCAATTACGCTTGTAAATCTGATTATTTTTTAATTTCACCCAAATATCGCTTGTGATATTTATAACTTAAGAAAACTACCAACTTTTTAAAAATTATTTAAGAAAATGATATTATTTATTCCATAAATAGCATATTCTTTTACATAATTAGCATATTGCAAAGATTATGGGATTGCTAATTAGTCAACACACGACACAAATCATGGGATTGCCTTTTATTTTCATATTCATACTCTCTCGGTCTCTCCTCTCATCTTCTATTTTAAAATTTACCTCATAATCATCTTATCTACACCTTTTTTTTAATTTCTTTTTTCCTTTTGACACTATATTCCGATCAAAGCTTTGAATTAAGCATAAAACTATTTTTTCGGTCTAAAAAGATTTTCAACCAGCAAAAAACTCCTCGCTGACCACCACTTCGGAAATATCTCTTACCAACTTTAAATTTTTAATTTATTTACCAATTCAAATATACCTCATATATTTCAAGGTATGTTATTATTTTGATGAGATTATACAATTGTTATTCCCGGTCAATATTGCTGTATTTGTAAATATTAATTCTGCAAAATATAAG